TAGGCCAGCCCCAGATTGTAGCTGAAATGAAGGTAAAGGTGGTCCCTTCTCTGTTGGCCCCTAGTGGGGAGGAACAACATTAAACACAAGTCCCGGGGAAGCGTGGGGTCGGCATGCTCTGGGAGGTGGAAGCAGAGTCCTGAGCCATTTGAGGGAGGTAGGAAAGTACACTCTCCAGGAAGCTCGACACGAGCTGAGGGTCGGAAAGGGAAATCCACTCTCCAGAAAGCACAACATGAGCTGGGGGTCAGGAAGAGGTTTTCCAGTCAAGGATAAAACAAAAGGGCAACACTAGGAAATTGTTCCCAGGACCTGTGCATTCGGAATTACCCTGTTTCTCCACATAGGGTCAGGCATTTTTTTGCAGGAACTCATTGGTCCAAATTTCCCATCCCTTGAAACCCTCACCAGGCTCTGGAGACCCTCAGCCTGCCAACTGCATTGGTTGAAACTGGTTCCCGTTAGGTCTTGTTCTCAAGTGGTATATTAATTACTTCCCTTGTTGCTATAACCAAATGTCTGGCAAAAAGCAACTTCGGGAAGGAAAGGTTTATTTTGGCTTCTGGTTTCAGGAAGAACCCGTCACTCATGCCAGGGAAGGCCCCGGGGCACAAGGTGCTGGTTATGTTGCAGCTGCCGTCGGGAAGCAAAGTGATGAAGGCTGGTGTTCGGCTCGCTGTCCCCTTTGTTCCTGTCAGGGACCCCAGCCCATGGGACAGCGTCGCCTACATTCAGGGACGTCCTCAATTAACCCTCTCTGGAAACACCCTGGAAAACACTCAGAGCTGTGTCTCCTGGTTAAGTGGACAGTGATGACAAGTGGTTATGTCTCTCAGTTGCACAAGTATCAAGATGGTGCTCTGACAGGGGGTGATTCCTCAGTAAAGCTGATTTTGTCCCCTTAGGTTGCCACTGTGAATTGTGTCACCCGTAGGGTTCAGGGTATGAATAACTAACCTGTCCCGCAAATCACATACTTAGGAAATGTGAAGGTGGAGCATCAAGTCTCTGTGGCAGTGGGCGAGGAAGGCATCCCACGGGAGTGCTGGACAGGCACTACAAGACAGGCCCAACCGGGCCCTATGAGACTGGATGGACAGTGCAGGGCTCCCAGACTGCAGTCCTCATAGAAGCCTGGAACGTGAGCTCCCTCCTCAGAGGTTTCTTTAAAGAAAGCTGCTGCGGACTAAGGAGACAAGTCAGTCCATAAAAGTGCTTACAGGAAAGCACAGGAACTGAGTTTGAGCCTCAGAAGCCATGTTGAAAGTCAGGTACAGGGCTAGTGAGATGGCTCAGCAGTTAAGAGCACTAGCTGCTCTTTCAGAGGACCCCAGTTCAATTCCCAGCACCTAAATGGTGGCTAAGGACCATCCACAACTCCAATTCCAGGGAACCCAATGCCCTCTTCTGGCCTCCATGGACATTGGACACACACACACACACACACACACACACACACACACACACGCACACACACACAATGTGCATGCAGGCAAAATACTCATACGCATAAAATTAAAATAAAATAAAAATTTTAAAATGTCCAGTGTGGTGGCACATGCTTGTAATTCCAACACTGGAGAATCTGGGGTGGAGCCAAGTAATACATTTTGATAAGTTCCCAAGGGATGCCTAGGTCCACACTGCAACACGGAAGTGCAGAAGCTAGCATGGGGGCGGGGTGCTTCCAAGCTGGTCTGGAGGCACACAGGTGGCTTCTGGGAGCAGGGAGGGTGGAGCACAGCATCAGGCCCTTGATGACTTGCTGGTGCAGAAGCCAGGGCTCAGAGTCTTCGTCCACTCACATCCCAGACCACAGACTGGCAGCCGGCTGCCATGTGAAGTCCACTCAGAAGGCCTCCTCCTCCCTCAGCTTTCTGCTCGTCACATGAACCTGCAGTGTATTCCTCAGCAACCGAGCGAGCTGGTGTCTCTTATCCAAAATGTCTGGGGCTGGAGGTCTTTCCGAGGTTGTTTTTACATTTGCACATACATGATGAGATACCTTGGGTGTGGGACCCAGGTCTAAAGATGAACTCATTTGCTTCCTATGTACCTTGTAACACAGCCTGAAGATAATTTTTCACAATACATTTTATTGATTTTTTTAAGTTAACATCCAAAGTCATAAATTTCATCATGGCATTTTCATGCATGTGTCACACTTGATTCAAACTCACCCCATTCCGTGCCCCACCTTCCCAGTGCTCCCTGACCCGCCTCTGGCTGGTTCCCCCACGTAGCCTCTCCTGCCACTTTCTCAGGCCACGTGTACTCCATTGTCTTCCCTTTCCCGCCACTTAAGGTCCCTTCCTCCACTCTCATGATCCACTCTCTGGCTTCATGACCTACACACACACACACACACACACACACACACACACACTCACAAATATACATAAACACACACCTCTAAAGAAAAATTTAAATCTAGGTTCCACATATGAGAGGAAACCTGCAGGATTTTTCCTTGAGAGCTTGGCTTATTTTATTTAACATAATGATCTCTGGTTCCATCCATTTTTCCTGAAAATGTCATGATTTCATTTTCTTTACGGTTGAATAAAATCCTATTGTGTGTAGGTATTACATCTTTTATCAATTTTTTTAAATTTATTTTATGTGTATGAACGTTATGCCTACGTGTGTGTAAGTGCATCCATGTCATGCAGTGCTCAGATGACAGAAGAGGGTGTCAGATTCCTTGGAACTGGAGTTACGGATGGTCGTTAGCCACCAATGTGTGTGCTGGAATTTGAACCGAGTCTTCTGCAAAAACAGACAGTGCTCTTAACTGCTGAGTCATATGTTTTCTTTAGTCAGTTATCTGTTGATGGGCATCTAGACTGATTCCATTTCCTAGGTATTACACAGTACTATCTAAGAATTTTGTATATGCAACTATTTTGTGATACAGAATTTTCCATTTGTGGATCATGTCAGCACCCAAAATGTTTTGGACTCTGGAGCATTCAAGATTTGAAATTTTCAGAATAGGGATGCTCAACCTATCATTGTGATAGCGGCGAGTGCCAAGTGCTGGGCTAAGTACAATATGCAAGTTAGCTGATTAACCACTCAGTGTACCCCTCTGGGGTAGACACATGTGATTCCTATTTTAAAGATGTAGATACTGAGGTTGGAGAGGTGGCTCAGTGAGTAAGAGTGCTTGCTGTGCAAGCAACAGAACCTGAGTTCAGAAAGGATACCCAGAACTCATGTAAAACCTGGGCATGGCCGTGGGTACCTATAACCCCCAGCACTGGGGAGGCAGAGACAGGCAGTTCCTGTGAGCTCACAGGCTGAGAGGCCAAAATGGTGAGCCTCAGAGTCTGAGAGATGTTGTCTCACACAGTAAGACAGAGTGTGGTACAGGAAGACACCTAGCATCCTCCTCTAGCATGCCCATGCATGCACACAGGCCTTCACAGCCACACGCATATGCACATATATCATACACACATAGATAAACATAAATAAATATATAAATGATTTTTAAAAGATGGGTGCTCAGGCACAGAGAACCCTGGATTTGCTCCAGGACAGGCAGCTCTATGAGGTGGTATCAGGACCCACACCCAGGCTTCCCTCCCCTCGGTTGGTTGGTTGGTCCCATCTGTCTGCTAGAAGTCCATCTAGATGTTCCATGAGGACTAACAGATCTGGAGTCATTCCTTTCTGGCCAGCTGAGGGTAGTCAGAAGCAGCTGCTCCTAAAAGAAGGCACAGGGGCTCCCCAAAGAGACTACCAGCTGGACTGAACAGACTAGTTGGTGCCTGGCCAAGGATTCCCCCCAGCTAGCAGCCTGGGGTGGAGAGTCAGGCCAAGGTGCCTTTAGCCCTGGCTCCTGCTACCTGTCTCCAGGCTTCTTGATCTCTGTGTACTTTCACTGCCTCTCCACACAACAGGAGTGTAATTCTACACATACAGGATCCCCATGAGGGGAAAATGACACAACATGGGCCTGTACCTAGTGTGTGCTGAGGGAATGTGACTCGCCTCCTCAGCCCCTTCAGTGGACCACTTCTGTTATCTCATGCCATCCAGCCACTCCTAGGACCCCTTCTTGCTACCCCAGGAGACCGGGGCTGAAGAGCATCCCCTGGGAGTTGTGAACTTGAGATGTTATTTCCAGACATTGGAACGTTCAGCCAAAGATTCCTGCCTCTCCAACTCAACTAGTGGAGAAGGCCAGAGAACCAGATGATAGGTGTGCCCTGGTGCTAGACAGGGCCTCGCCATAGATGATCTCATAAAGGAAATGGAGGCAGAAGACAGGGGAAGACACCCCCCGTGGTACCCTGAAGATCTCGGAGGAGTGAAAAGTGGGCAGTGGGAGAATTTGGAAGTTGATGACGGTGTTGACTTTGAACTCCCATTGGCATGGGTTATAGTCTCCATTCTGCCACTTAACTTTGTGACTCTGGACAAGTCACATGACCCTTCTGAGCCTAGGTCTCCTCCCCTATAAGTCAGAGTCAATAATCTCTACCTCATATCTGTTGTAAAGATTAAAATGAAGGTGTGTCTTGGGACACTGGTGAGCAGTTATTGTTTTAAGGTTCATCTTACAACCAACACAGGTGAACACACACACAGCCCACAGTTATTTGTCCATTAAATTTTCAAATGTATTGACTGAGCACTCTGTGCCCGGTGCTGGGAATAAAGCCACGCCCTGGGCACACACATAAAGCTCTGATTTCCCAGTGCTTACCCTTCAGTGAGAGATGACAGTCAGGATACAGCTGAGTAAATAAAACAATACTAGTAAATGCTGCAGACACATTAAAAATGGACGCTGTGACAACACAATGTTCTCTCTATCTTTGTCCAACAGGTGGGTTCAGAGGAGCAAAGGATAATCCAAAATGCCCAAGGAATCTGCTTCCTGTCTGCTCCTCCTGATTTCTAGCCATTGCAAAGTCAAATGTCCCCCAGCCAAGTGTGACCCCCACTTAGCGTGCCCTAATGTGATGGTCCCTGTACTTGGTTTTCAGGAGAGCAGCACCCTCAGCTGAATTTTCAGTAGACAGAACTCGCCATTTAATGTCCTTCTTGACCATGATGGGCCCCAGTCCCGACTGGAATGTGGGCTTATCTGCAGAAGATCTCTGTACCAAGGAGTGTGGCTGGGTCCAGAAGGTGGTGCAAGACTTGATTCCCTGGGATGCCGGCACTGACAGTGGAGTGACCTATGAGGTAGGTGTGCACCTGAAGTGGAAGGCAGGCTTCCCCAGCGACAACTCCTGGCCCAGTACTCTTCTAGGTGTCTGGAACACAGGGGTGGGTTTGACCCAGATGTTTTCTTTGAAACCCTCATCTGGTGAGTGTGGCCAGTATGTTCAGTGTACCAACTGTATTCAACTCTGGAGCCGTCAGAAAACCAGGGAAAGGGCTGGGGAGATAGCTGTCAGTGAAGGATTTGTCATGCAAACATAAAGACCTGAGTTTAATCTCCAGAACCCATGTGAAAAGGCAGGCATGCTGACACATGCTCATAATCCCAGTGCTGGGGAGGGGAAAACAGAAGAAACCTTGGTATTCACTAGCTAGCCAGCCTAGCCCACGTGACAGGTTCCAGACCAGCTGATCAGCACACCGTGGTTTCCAAGGCAGATCTACCTGACATCCTGATTTGTAAATCGTTTTTGTTTTCATTTATTTGTTTGCTTTTTGCCATTGTGGTTTGCTTTTAGGTTTTATAGTATTGGGGATAGAACCCAGGACCTTGTTCATGCTGGGCTTGTGCTCTACCACTAAGCTACATTCAGAGCCCTTGTTTTTTTAATTTTTAACATTTTTATAAATTCTTTGAGATTTTCATACCATGTGTTTTGATCATATTGACCCCCATCTTTACCAACATCCACTCCCGCAGCCCTATCCGCCCAATTTTTTCTTTTTTTTTTAATAACCCAATTAATGACTCCAATTTATGTTGTCCATATACTCTTAGAGAGTGCTCAGCCTACCAGAAGCCACACTCATAAAGAAAACCGACTCTCCCTCAGCCATCAATGCAAGCACTCTTAACCTTAACCTCTGAGCCATCTCCCCAGGCCTCCCTCTTTTTCCCCTCCAACCTTTGTTCTGTTTTTGTTTTTGTTTTGAGACATGTTCTGGCTGTATAACCCAGGCTGGCTTCAGCCTTGTCATTACAGGTGTGGGCCACTATGGCTAGCCTGTAAATAGACGGCTTTGGAAGCCTGCTGTATTCAGTCCATTGTGTATAGTCGGGGGCTACCTTCCCACTGGAAGGGCTCAGCTGCGTAGTTGTGACAGATACAGTGTGACTCACAGAGTCTACAACCTTTCCATCTGACCCGCTATAGAGAAAAGTGTGCTTCCTAATCCAGCAAAAAAAAAAGAAGAAGAAAAAAAAAAGCCTTGGATTCAGGTCAAGCTGGCTCAGCCATTTCTGAGCTTGGATGACCTCTTTGAAGTGTGTGCTGGACATGGCCTTGTAGAGTATGTGGAAGAATTCGGAAGCAAAGGTTTACAGATTTCCAAGCACAGAATCTGCATGAGTGAGCATCCATAAATACAGTTGTATTTGTTAATTTCCTATTAGAGCAAGGTCCTGAGTTCAATGCCTAGCATCTCTCTATTCCCCCCACCCTTCAGAGTTTTTGTTCTGAGCCACAATAACAAATTGCTTTGTGGCTCTCATCATGCGTTCCCCACTCTGTGTGTCTGTTTATGCCCACAGTCACCAAACAAGCCCACAATTCCTCAGGAAAAAATTCGGCCCCTGACCAGTCTGGATCATCCTCAGAGTCCGTTCTATGATCCAGAAGGCGGGTCCATCACTCAAGTGGCCAGAGTTGTGATCGAGAGAATCGCCCGGAAGGTACAATGAGACTACAGGTTTCTGCCCTAGAATCGCTGATGGCTCTGGTAGGAAGCATCTTAGGATATGAGATTTCTGGGTCTTCTACGGTTTCAAGTATGCAAATTATCTTATAATATGTAAATTAGCAAAGAAACCCAGTAGTGAAGCCTAGTGTTTAAATGAATGATTTGATTCAGGCAGGTCAGTGTCATCATGAGTTCCATAGTTGATTACTAATGTCTGCCATGGTCAGGACAGCTGCTTAGCGAACCCTACTTTCTGGTGTTTCTTTTGAGTCAGGTTGTGAGTGTTGGTCTAGAGCTCAGCCACAGCAAAAGTTTTATACACAGTGAACATTAGCTCTAGGTCTTTCACCCTCTCTTTGTTTTATAATATGAGCTCTCCACATCCAATTCCTCTTGCAGGGAGAACAATGCAACATTGTACCAGACAATGTCGACGACATAGTAGCTGATCTGGCTCCAGAAGAGAAAGATGAAGGTACGCTATTCTTTGTGACAGGTGACAACATACATTGACATGATCCATAGATGTCAGAGATGGTAATCCCATGCCTGAGGATTTCTCCTCAAGAAATAACCAGGGAGCTGGAATGGAGCTCAGGGGCCAAGCATATGTTTAGCGTGTACCAAGCCCTGGCTTCTATACCCAGAACCTTGCTAAAGAAAAGAATAAAACACAAGGCCCAGGTCAGGCACCAAGTATACTACAGTTGGTGAAGGTATGACATTGGAGTGTGCATTTTACATCAGCCCTTTAACGTGGCCATGAAAATCGCATATTGATATGATTTGCAGTATCCAGACCACACGCCGTTTTGATTCTTGCACTGGCCTGTGAGGTGGGACAAGTACACCCAGTCCTCAGCCAGGTAGAGGCCCAGATCTGACAGGCAGGAGAGAGGCAGAGCCATGAGCTGAACTCCTGGGAGAACCAGGTCTCCTGGTAGAACCTAGACTTTCATTAGCCTGTGACCTTGGCAAGAAGCCAACCCTTCTCCTGTTCCCTCACCTGTAAAATGGGAATAATGACAGATCTCCACCTCAGAGAGAAAGAGGACCAGTGAGCTTAACGGAGCTGGGTTCTTCTTATGCTAGCACATATAAGTGCTCAGTGAACATCAGCTGCCCTTAATCTCAGCCTGACACATGTGGGTGGGGCCAACAGGAAGAAGAAAGAGCTGTGTGTTTTCTAAAATTGCCCATAAAATGCCTGCACACAAACGGTGTCTGCCAAAGTGAGAGGCTGATCATGAGACAGACGTGCACAGTGAGAGAATGGTCCTCATTTAAGGCATTTACTAGCAGGATGCTGTCCCTCCTTCTTAAAGTAGGAGAATGTCTGCTTCCATCCCTGGAACACACAAATGAGCTTTTTCTAGGAAGAGGGCTGGTTGCAGCTTCCGCAGGCTCCCAGGGAAACATGGCAAACACTCTTTGCAGATGATACCCCTGAAACCTGCATCTACTCCAACTGGTCCCCGTGGTCGGCCTGCAGCTCCTCTACTTGTGAAAAAGGCAAGAGGATGCGACAGCGCATGCTGAAGGCGCAGCTGGACCTCAGTGTCCCCTGTCCTGACACCCAGGACTTCCAGCCCTGCATGGGCCCTGGCTGCAGTGATGAAGGTAAGGAAGCAGTGTAGACCAGCTGACAGTTCAGGAAGGGGAGCTGGGAGGTGGTACAGTGGCAGAGTGCTGCCTAGTACTTGGGAGGCCCTGGGGTCATCCCCAGCACCACCACCACCAATATACATATATATAATTTGGGCTAGAGAGATGACGCAGTGGTTAAGAGTGCTGGCTACTCTTGCGGAAGAGGGCCTAGGTTCATTTCCCAGTACTACATGGTAGCTAAGCATCTCTAACTCCAGTACCAGGGGCTCTGACACCCTCTTCTGGCCTCTGTGGGCCCTGTGGGTACATGGTGCACTTCCATGAAGCAGAACGCTCGTTTGCATAAAATTTTTTTATTTAGCTTTTTTCTTAAAGTTCATGAAGGAAGGGCTGCCTGGCAACATGGGTCCCTCACACCCTGGAAGGCAATGTCCCTGGAGTCGAAGTTGGACTTCATTAGAACATCCCTATGGGTGAAGTGCAGCTAGAGTAGATGCCTTCTGCAAGATCTCGAGGCTTCTGAACATACAACCCATTGTAGGACATTGGAAGGATACTTGAGGTTGACTGGCCTCTTCCTTCATGTCACTTTTATGTAGCCTAGGAAACAACCTAAGGAAGGTTCAGAGTCAGAGTCGGAGGGTTCAATATGGTTGCTTGATTCCATGCACTGTGGCAAAGCATCGTGGTAAGCAAGAAACAGGGAGACGGGAAGGGGTCAGGAGAGAATTCCGTCTAGGCATGCCTTCAGTGAACAGTTTCTCCTGCTAGGGGGTCAGGACAAGAGATGGATGCCCTTCTAGGACATGCCTTCCATGAACACTTTCCCCACCTAGGCCCTACTTCCTAACATCTCACAACCCCCCAAGATGCCACCACCATCTGGGGTCCAAGCACTCAACCTGCGAGCCTGTGAGGGACATAACATAATCAATCATAGACCTCTCCAGCCATGAAATGTAATAGATGTAGACTACAGAGCTGCAAACATAGATGTGTGTTATGACAAATTATAAATGAGTAGCCTGCTTTGGGATCTTTAGTGCCAGCTGCACCACCCCCAACCTTTCTTGGGGGCTGAGGAGTTTGAGGAAGGGCCTCACTGTGAAGCCCAGGTCAGCCTAGAAATCACTACATAGCCCCATGCTGCTCAGGAACCCATGCTTGTCCTGTCTCAGCCTCCCGGGGGCTGGGATTACAGGCATGTGGCACCGTGCTGGGCTTCCAACTGCTTATTAAAGCAGCTGCCACTCCTGGCCCCTCTTCAGTGTGCCGCCCTGGCCCATGTCAGGACCTTCAGGCTGATTGTGTACTTTCTCTATCTGAAACTGCTCAAAGGTCAGGCTTGATCTACAGGCTTTCGATACCCGTCACCAAAGCAGAGCCTTCGAGATTGCAGGAGGCTGTTTGCTGTACAAAGTTCGGCTGCCTGTTCCTCCGGGTGTGACCTGTCTCTCTGCCTGAACAGGTCTATACTGCTTTCTCTTCTTATTCTCTCAGAGATGCAGGGTAACTTCCTCCTCTCCTGACCATGAACCGATCTCCCTCCCAGGGCTCCCCTCCCACACGGCTTATTGCTGAGCCATTCTCTTTTAGAATTTTATTTATTTACTTATCTATTTATATGTGTATGAGCGTTATGCCTGCATGTGTGTAAGTGTACCTGTGTTGTGCAATGCCCAGCGGAGGACAGAAGAGTGTGTCAGATCCCCTGGGACTAGAGTTACGGAGGGTTGTTAGCAGCCATATGGGTGTTGGGATTTGAACCCAGGTCCTTCTGCAAGAACAGCCAGTGTTCTTAAACGCTGAGCCATCTCTCCAGCCCCTGTCATTCTTGTCCCAAATAGAGCACTGTGGAGGGGAACAAACCGCACTATACACAAGCCTACAAAGAGAAGGGAGAACGGGTCACTGAAGTCAACATAAGGCGCTTTTCTTAGGACTGGGGCTCCGGAGCTAACAGCTGTAGTGGAGTTGAAGTCTCTAACCTCCTCCTTTTCCTTGTCCTCTAAGGAGGTCACTATTATATCAGGCAGGCGCTCCTAGGAAAATGACAGTACTGAGATTCACTGGGTTGGGCCTGGTCCTTGTAAAAGCCACACCTCCCAGTTCTTTTGTAGCCACACCAAGGTCCCCTCTGCCCTCACTGAGCATGCCCGGTGTGTTGCAGATGGCTCCACCTGCACCATGTCAGAGTGGATCACCTGGTCACCCTGCAGCATCTCCTGTGGCATGGGCATGCGGTCCCGGGAGAGGTACGTGAAGCAGTTTCCAGAGGATGGCTCAGTGTGCACGCTGCCCACCGAAGAGACGGAGAAATGCACCGTCAACGAGGAGTGCTGTGAGTCGGGGTGCCTCCAGGACGGGGGATGGGCAGGCGGGTCCAACAGCACCCGTGCAACCCCAAGTCAATGTTCCTCCCAGCTCCCAGCAGCTGCCTGATGACCGAGTGGGGCGAATGGGACGAGTGCAGCGCCACCTGCGGCATGGGCATGAAGAAGCGGCACCGCGTGGTCAAGATGAGCCCTGCAGACGGCTCCCTGTGCAAGGCAGAGACGTCCCAGGCGGAGAAGTGCATGATGCCCGAGTGCCGTGAGTGGGTGCACGGGAGGCCTTCGAGCAGGGGACCTCGGACCCAGACACTCAGCGCCTGCACACTAGATGGATGAGTAGGGGCCGAGGGAAAGCACGGCCTGGTCTCTTAGGGCAAGATAAACCTCAGGTGTGAGGTGTGTTGCATCAACCAGACAGGCTCTTTTAAGGTTATTTTAAGCAACCTGGGGCTTCTGGGTATAATACAGCTGTGATCCAGAGAAGCATTTTCCTTAAGACAGTGGAGAGGGGCGACAGATTTAGGCAAGACACACGGTGCCCAAGTCCAGTCCACTCTTGTTTGTTTTGGAGACAAAGTTCCATGACATAGCCCTGGCTAGCCTGGAACTCACTGTGTAGCTAGACCAGGCTGACCCGCAACTCAGAGATCTGCCTGCCTCTGCCTCTCCGAGTCCTGGGATTAAAGGTGTGCACCACCTTGCCTGCCCATTCCTGTTTTAGGACTCAGGTCTCATAAAGCATTACCACACCCTCGGTATGCACAGGTGTGTATAGAGCCACGCAGCAGCACAAAACAGTTCCCGAGCACACAAGCACACATAGGTTCTAGGGATTTCAGAATCAAAGTGCTTTAAAATAGTAGCACTGAGCCAGTCCCCGTCTGGTGCATGGCTCTTGAGTGAGGGGTGTTCATCTTACTGAGACCCTACTCAGACCTTCAGTGATACCTCAGTTGAGAACTCATGCTTTGCAATCACTGCCCTCCTCTCATACCCACTCACAACCAGCAGCGAGACGCAAAAATGTGATGAGCACAGTCGGCCGGGGGCCACTTCCCGCTCCAGGCTGTTCGGCCTTATTAGAACTCATGAGCCAATTCTATTTTATTCTGGGGGCCAGAGCAGGTAGGGATATTGTGGGGCCAAGAGCAAAGACAGCCAAGGGTGCCTGTTCTCATTGCCAAACTTGACTCTTAACCTAGACACCATCCCATGCTTGCTGTCTCCGTGGTCCGAGTGGAGTGACTGCAGCGTGACCTGTGGGAAGGGCATGCGGACCCGCCAGCGGATGCTCAAGTCTCTGGCAGAGCTGGGAGACTGTAATGAGGAACTGGATCAGGTGGAGAAATGCATGCTGCCCGAGTGCCGTAAGTCGAGGTCCTGGGTCCACCCTTCTCTCTTTCCAAGTTCCTCAACCTGGGAGCACCCCTCTCCCCCACACTCAGTCCAGCGCTAGAACTGCTAGATAAGGAGATGGTGGATAAACTGCTTTGTACACAAGGATGAGGACCAGAGTTTGGATCCCCAGAACACATGTAAAAGCCAGGCAGGCAGGCTGGCTGCCTTTATCCCAGCACTCAGGGAAGGAAACGCATCCCCTGGGCAAACTCAAACTGACTAGCTAGACTAGCTAGAATCTGTGAGTTCCAGGTTCAGCAAGGGACCCTGCCTCTATAAATACAGTGGAGAGTGACAGAGGAAGACACCAGAAGTCAACCTTAGGCCTACACGTGTGTGTGCACACATGCACACGCCCAAAAAGACATATACTGCTAGATCCTATAGTGAGACTATTTGCCTAGTTAAAAAAAGAGTGAGGTTTGGGTTTGTGTTGGCATAAACTCTTCAATCTTACTGTTGGCTGCAACACACATAAATTACAAGTATTAAGTCTAAATGGGGGACTAATATCAAACCCCAAACACAAGTCAGTAACTCTGAATCCTTTCCTTCCCTTACCCCAATTATGGGCTTGTCTGACCCATGGACTTTCTGAACCTTTTAATCCCATTCCTGCTGCATGTGATCATTTTATTTACCTTTGACCAGAGGCTGGGCATTAAATCAATGATTCCAACAAGCTGGTAAGAAACCAGCCAAGTTCTTAAAAGCTCGCTGCCCTCCCCACCTCCATCTGAAATCTGTGTGGCCAGCAGTTGGGATGACACAAGGACTAACCTCCAAGCAGAGAGCTTGTTTTTCTGGCCAGCAGTCCACTCCAGGTTTAGGTTGTGCGAGGGTAGCATGGCCTTTGTTTCTGATGTATTTTCTGGCTTCCTCTAGATGGTTGCCATCTTTGAGTCTCCCTCCCCACTCGGGCTGCCTGCCTGGTCAGATCTGAGCTCTGAACTTTCCTGGCTACATAACCTTCAGCTTCTCCCTGTTCCTCAGTTCCCTATCTGTGAAGCAGCAGAAAAACACTCTCTGGGTTATTCTGAGGATTGGGCCTGGTTACTGGCACCAAGTGTGGGCACCAGACATGGTAGGTGCAAGCGTTGAACTCTACAACCGCTACGGAACTTATTTTAACTAGACTCAGTCACATGTGCAACTAGCCTACTCTGTCAACTAAATAAAGCCTGGGGATTTTAATAACCATAGATAGTTCACAGTTCAACCTCACTCACTGGATTAGGGCTCTAGAGCCTTTTTATTTATTTATTTTTTTTTTTTTGGTCTTTTTGAGACAGCGTCTCCCTGTAGCCTCAGCTGCTGTCCTGGAGCTCATTATGGAGACCAGGCTGGCCTTGAACTCAGTATTCTTGTAAGTGAAAAAAATACAAATTTTTTCTTTAGTTTTTGTTTTTAAGGGATATCATGAAATAGTTTGATTTTTACATGGC